ACAATTCATGTCTCATTGATAATGCATCAACGCACACCATTTGAAATATAAGAAATATTTCACCAACCTGAAGTTGGGAAAAATTGAGGTAAATACTATAAGTGGTTGTGCGAAATTAATTGGGGCTCTGGAAGAGCGATAATATTTCTCCCCGAATGAGTAAAACTTGATATCCAAAATGCATTATATTCTAGTAAATTCCAAAGAAATTTGTTAAGTTTTAATGATATTCGCATAAATGGATATCATATTGAGACATCAAGTGAGTCAAATAATGAATTTTTGTTGATTACAAAATTCATTAATAGACATAAATATATATTAAAAAAATTGTCTTCATTGTCTTTCGGATTATATTAAACAAAGATTAATGCAGTTGAAACATATCTGGTAGACCAGAAGTCTACAGATTTTATGATTTGGCATGACCGGTTTGGGCATCCCGGTAATACTATGATGAGACAAATTATTGAAAATACCCATGGCCATAACTTGAAAGATCAAAGGGTATTAAATACAAATGAGTTTAAATGTGTTGCTTGCTCAAAAGGGAAGTTAATAACTAGACCATCATCAGCAAAAGTGGGAACTGAATCCCCTGCATTTCTAGAACGAATTGAGGGTGATATATGTAGGCCTTTAGATCCACCATGCGGACCATTTCGATATTTTTTGGTACTTATCGATGCATCTACTAGATGGTCGCATTTGTGTTTATTATCCACCCGCAATTTGGCGTTTGCGAGGTTGCTTGCTCAAATAATTAAATTACGAGCTCAATTTTCAGATCACCCAATAAAGAAAATTCGTCTTGATAATGCAGGTGAATTTTCATCTAAGACATTTGATGATTATTGCATGTCTATTGGAATTGACAATGAACATCTTGTACCTCATGTACATACTCAAAATGGTCTAGTTGAATAACTTATAAAACGGCTGCAATTAATTGCAAGACCTATGTTAATGAAATTCAAACTTCCTGTATCTGTTTGGGGATATGCAATTATACATGTTGCAACACTGATAAAATTAAGACCGACAAGCTATCATAGCTACTCCCCAGTACAATTGGTGTACAATGAAAAACTCAATATTTCACATTTGAGAACTTTTGGATGCGCAGTTTATGTGCCAATTGCACCGCCCCAACGTACAAAAATGGGCCCCCAACGGAGATTGGGGATATATGTCAGGTATGAATCACCATCTATCATTAAATATCTTGAACCGTTAACTGGTGATTCGTTTACAGCTCATTTTGCTAATTGTCATTTTGACGAGTCGCATGTCTCGACATTAGGAGGAGAAATTGATCAACTGAAAAAAGAAATTATTTGAAAAATACCATTCAGATTTCTTGATCCTCGTACAAGTCAAAGTGAATTAGAGGTGCAAAGAATTTTATATTTGCAGCGAATAGCAAATCAGTTGTATGATATTTTTTGTGACGCCAGTAGGGTCACTAGATCTTTTATAGCTGCTAAAAACGTACCTGCTAAAATTTTTATTCTTGGAGACAAAATACAAAGGGCTAATGAATCAAATATACTCCTAAAGCGTAGCAGACCTATAGGTTCCAAAAATAAAAATTCTCGAAAGAAAAGAGGAACAAATGAAAGGGTTTTGGATTTGAATCCTCAAGAAACAAGTAGTAACATGGATCAGATTTTTAAATAAATTGATCCTGATAAACTTGATGAGGATGGTAATCCTAATAGAATTTCTCCTAAAGAGAATGAAATTATTGAAAATTCAATAAATTATGTTACTACTGGAAAGCATTGGAACCGAAATGATAGAATTATGGATAATGCTTTTGCATATAATGTAGCACTTGATCTAATGGAAAATGACGAGGATCCAGAACCTAGATCAATTGATGAATGTCAGAAAAGAATAGATTGGCCAAAATGGAAAGATGCGATCCAGTCTGAATTAAATTCATTGGAAAAACAGAAAGTTTTTGGATCCATCGTTCAAACACCTGAAGGTGTTAAGCCTGTTGGCTATAAATGGGTATTTGTTCGAAAGCGAAATGAGAATAATGAAATTTCCAGATATAAAGCAAGACTTGTTGCTCAAAGTTTTTCTCAAAGACTTGAAGTTTATTTTAATGAAACATATTCTCCAGTAATTGATGGAATAACATTTTGATATATTGTCAGTTTGGCAGTACATGAAAATTTGGATATGTGTCTGATGGATGTTGTAACTGCATATTTATATGGCTCATTGGATAGTGATATTTACATGAAAATCCCTGAAGGATTTAGTATGTCTGATGCATACAAATCAAAGCCAAAAGAATGTTATTCTATTAAATTACAAAAGTCTTTGTATGGGCTCAAACAATCTGGTCGCATGTGGCATAATCGTCTCAGCGAATCATTATTGAAAGAATGATATGCCAATGATTCTACTTGTCCGTGTGTTTTTATAAAGAAATATCGGAGAAATTTTGTAATAATAGTTGTTTATGTGGATGACTTGAATTTAATTGGAAACCCTGGAGAGGTCCAAGAAACTGTTGAATATATGAAAAGAGAATTTGAAATTAAAAATTTTGGGAAAACGAAATTCTGTCTTGGTTTACAAATTAAACATTTGGAAAATGAGATTTTGATACATCAATCTGCATATACCCAGAAAGTATTGAAAGGATTTAAAATAGATAAAGCACATTCATTAAGTACTCCAATGGTCTTTTGAACTCTCGATCATATTAAAGATCCTTTTAGACCAAAACATGAGAATGATGAAGCACTTGGTCCTGAAGTAGCATATTTAAGTGCTATTGGTACACTAATGTATCTGGCTAACAGTATTAGACCAGATATAGCATTTGCTGAAAATTTATTGGCCAGATTTAGTGCAATGCCAACACAACGACATTGGAAAGGAATCAAACATATTTTTCGTTATCTTCAAGGATCTATTGATCTTGATCTATTATATCCAAAAGAATTTCGACATGAATTGATTGGATATGCAGATGTTAGGTATCTTTCTGACCCGCATAAAGCCAAGTCTCAAACTGGCTATATGTTTACTTGTAGCGGTACAGTGGTATCTTGGAGATCCACTAAACAAACATTAACTACCACATCTTCAAATCATGCAGAAATAATAGCAATTCATGAGGCCAGTAAAGAGTGTGTTTGGTTAAGATCAAAGATTCACCATATTTTACAGAATTGTGGTTTGAAATCTGAAAATGATAATCATCCTACTATTTTGTACGAAGATAATGCAGCTTGTATAGCAATTGAAAGAAGGATATATCAAGGGACATAAAACGAAACATATTTCACCGAAAATTTTCTTTAGTCATGATCTCCAAAAAAATGACGAAATAAATGTGCAGCAGATTCGATCAAACCAAAATCTAACAGACTTGTTGACCAAGGCTTTACCGACCGCAACGTTAGAGAGATTGGTAAAGATTATCGGGATGCGTCGATTGCAAGATTTCAAATGATGTCCACATCAAGGGAAGCGATATTTCAAGTGATGTCCACATCAGGGGAAACAATATTTCAAGTGATGTCCACATCAGGGAAAGTATTCTTAATGCATGAATGACGTACTATTTTTCCTTAACTAGGATTTTTGTCCTATTGAGTTTTTTCCTAGTAAGGTTTTAACGAGGCGTATTTATTGCAAATTAATGACACCTAAGGGAGAGTGCTATGACACGTGTAGTGTAGATGTCAATCATTTAATAGCATTTAGATGACTCATTATGTATTGCATTGGGTATAAATAGCCATAATATTATTCATAATGATGCGTATAAATTTCTCTCTACGACTCTCTCACTCTTTCTATAAATATATAATTTTCATTTACTATCTTTCAAAGCTTTCTCTCTCTCTTCCCATCTGTATATATATAATATAGTACATATATTTGTTACTACATACTTATATATTTATACTTTATATGGTATATTTTATAACAGTAATTATTTACATACTCAAAATTTTTTTATCTAACTTTATGATATCAACTCATATTTAATTAATATAATATTATATGGGCAAAATAGCATAAAATCTCCCTGTGGTTTCACAAAGTTGCTAAAAATCTCCCTGGTTTTAAAACTCCAAAAAACCTACTTGTGGTTTGTAAAACGTTGCACACTCGCCCCTCCCCTCTAAATTCTACTAACATAAGTTAAATTCTATCATAATGGACCGTTATACCCTTTTCTCCCTCCTACTTTTTTTTCTTCCCTTTTCTCCCACACGCCCACTCCCATCTTTTTTTTCTTCATTTCTCTTCTTATTTTTCTGTAATTTTCTTTCAGAAGATCTGTGAAAAAATTGTCGGCGGAAGTATTAACCCGTTGTTTGTTCGCCGAGGAAAGAAGCTGCTGGGAACCGCCGCCGCTACCGGTCGCCAGGATGGGCTGAAGTTGTTTGTCAATCAGTCAATTTGTGGAAAATATTTATATTTTTCTTTCTTCTGGGTCTTAATTGTTTGAGTTCCTTCTTCTCCTTCCCCAATTTTTCTTCACACTGCATAGCCACACCAGATTCTTTCTCTTATTTCTTTTCCCCAATTTTCTTTCTCAATTCTTCTTCACCCGCAGCCGCAGCCGCATGCAACAGGTATTTTTTCCCCAATTTTTTCCTTTCTTCTTCTTCCTCCCAATATTTTTTTTCCTTCTTCTACTTCTTCTTCCATAATTCTTCTTCTCACAGCCGCACCAAGTTCTTCTCCAATTATGAATTATTTCCTCCTAAAATTTAACCTAAAAATATCTGAAAAATGGAGAAAGAAACATAAATTAACACAGTTTCTCTGCACCTTAATAAATATGAGAAGATGAAAAATCACAATTCTCTATTGATTTTACTAAGTTCTGTGTGCCTTCATTTTTTATGAATATCGGTTGAGAACGTGATCTATCCGCTTCAAATTTTTTTATTCTTTGAATTAAATATATTATGAATTTTGAACCTGGACAATCGAGTGAAAAGAAGACATTGTGGAAGAACTAAGCTGTATTGAATTTTAAGGGAGAGAAAAATGCATATAATAAAGTCATAGGGTCATTTTAGTAACTTCACGTACAAATTTATCATTTTGAGAATTTTACGCTATTTTGCCTATTATATGCAATAAAATATGTATTCAACTCATACACATTTTTCTTGAAGGGTAATTTGCGTAACAGGGATAAAAAAATTAATAAACAATGGGCGGAGAGAATAGGTAAGTAGGTTGAGGTTGAGAGTGATCAAATTTCAAAAGTTGGGACTTGAGAATGGAAGCCATGAAAAGCCATGTATGCTAAACGAGATAAGATATTTCTGTAGGGATCTTTTTCTCTTTTGGCCTTGAGATAGCGAATGCTTTTCCGTATCTCCCTCTGTATCTCTAGGTACAGTTCCCCTGCTCTCTCTTTATCTCTCAATACATCCTTTCTTCCTGATCCATTCATATTAATAACTAACAACACATTATTGGATTTAATTGAAATTAACATAACACGCCACACCTTCTGTTGGGATCGGCTTTCCGAATAGGAAATAGAGGCGACCTGGTAGTTTCGGCACACACACTGGATAGTAAAAAACTTGCTTCCCCCCCATCTCGTCTTCACTATTGTTCCTGTACCAACATTACCACCAGACCAAACCATGAATTCAGAAAACAGCAGAAGCATATGTTGATGAAACAAAATCATATCGAGAATAGTTTAGCATGCATATAGAGAAACAAGCTGTTTTAGGATAATCAGTGCTTTTTGATGCATACAACAGAAACACATACATCATCTACATAAAGATCCAGGTGTGCCATCAGTGTGTTATCCACTTCCTAGAGTCAATCGTTGTTTCAAGAAAAGCGCAGTTTACCTCAAGCTGACCACCTCGCTGGTTAGCCCATCTATGAAGGTCTTCAGGGCTGGAATCTTCATTTGATCATTGTAGTCTAATATCAACTGATTCACAACAAAATAAATAAATTATCTTCTAACTGCGATAAACAAATGTGTATGATCACAAGAGCAATACTTCCTATCCAAGGGAAGGGGAAGTCATTAAGTGTTGCAGACTTGCCTCAACCATATCATCCTCCCCAATGGCACCAAAAGGCACAATTTTGGCCCCAAATCTCGCAGCCATCCGAATAAACTCTGGTTCTGAAGGCCAGATCAACTTGTATTCATCACCCTAAATGTAACAAGAAAGATAAGGAGAGTTTGTTGACAAAACTGTAATGCTTCAAAAAAACAATCGAAAGGTGGAAAACGGACACACAAACCTTCCCATGAAAAACCTCTGATATGCCCCCTGGATACAGCAGTACATGACACTTCAATGATAAAAGCTTATACATATTTGTTGCTGTTACTGGAACTCCACCATAGTGTCTCATCCAGTCGAAGAGAGACAAATCTGGCAAATTTCCTTTCTTCAATCTACTGAAGAAAAATGGATGTGCCATCACTCTGAGCAGGATGTTCCCGTCGAACCAAAACCTGGATATTAAAGGTACGAGGTCCATTCCTAACATCATGTGGTTCCCAACAAATAAAACTGGTCCATCAGAGGGAATTCCTGCAAGTCCCCAAACAACATTCCTCTCATCCACAGTTGAGAGCATCACAGGATTGAGTGCCACATCCATCCACCTGAATAATTTTACTTTGACGGTGAATAGCCATTATCTGCAGATGTATATCTCTAATATATAGAAAACGACTGTTTCAGCTAGTGATCAAAATAAAACCTGATATTTAGTACCCTCACCCACTAATCAGTAATATTGCAACACAAACTGGAAACTAAGACAAATTGAGATGTTTTTGAGTTATTAGCACACTTATTACCTGAACGGTTCATAGGTTTTCTTATACTCCGAAGAAGTTGGTGGCAAGAAATCTAAGACATGATCAATTGTTGCTCCCCGACGATAATAGCAAGATCGCTTTATGGTTGCTACCAAATCAAAAGTATCATCCTGGAGATAAATAGATTGTACCCATCATATTTCGATAAATCAACCAACATGCAACTTCACATTTCCATATTAGCTAAAGATGCTGTTTCTATAAACAACTCAGCACTGTTCTATGTTACTGAATGGCAGGCAGAGGGGGAGGAGAGAAGAGAGAGAATATATTGAAATAAAATGGCTTTCTAACAAAGTTTAGATGACTAAAGCACTGTTTATTTGACGTTTCATTGATGGTCCACAATATGCGGAGATCAGAGAACTTTTACGTTACCAAGAATAGTGGATTGCTCTTCCCAGGAAACGAACGAACATCAGAGTGTTGAAGCTTGCTGTGTAGTCTTTCACACTCAGTTATATGAGAAACTAGAATATCACTCCCACTGTATGAATAATGAAACTGAGAATCATCAACTGTATGGAGAATCCCTATTGAAATGACATATTCATATTAAACTCTTATTCTATCTGATTGTACTAATTAAATCCCAGTTCAAAGAAGCAACCTGGTAAGTATGAGGACCTGAGCTTTGACAGAATGAAGATTAAAATTCAAAAATATCTGCATCTCATCCATCATTCTCAGCTTCCACAAAATTGTATCTATTGTCATTCCAACTTTATATATAGATTACAGCAGCAGAGAAGAAAATGTGATTTCTAAACAGGGAGTCTAAACCTGGTATCCAGCTCACATGTGGTCCAGCCTGCATAAGTCTATGCACCACATCTGACAATGGAACAACACTTTGCAGCAAAGATTTGTTGATCGTTGAAGCTGCAGCAAGATGAAATAAATGAGAAGTATGAGAAAACTTCCATATTATATTTAATATTTCAAAAAATACAAGCTTCGCACCAGGGTTAGCTAAGATTAAGATGAGATCAATATCAGGGTTCTGCGCTGCAACAACTAGTGCAAGAGAAGCTCCAAATGACTCTCCCACAAGATATGTTGGTCTTGCCGCTGCTTGCTCGATCTCGAACCTAATGGTGCTCTCTACTAATGCTACTAGATCTAGGGAATCAAACACATGTTGGAAGCCTTTTCCTAAAAGTTAATATGCACAGCTAATGTTGGAGGACTGAAGGCTGAGAAAGACCCGAAAACCGTGTCCGATCAAGAAGAGGAATGTGCAAGCACCATATATCGAAAATCCTGGACGACACAAATTTAGAAGAGAATGTTAACAAGAGCAGGACCAGATTTAAGAGTAAATGAATATCAGTCAGTAGTGTATAGAGTAGTTGGTGCACACAAAGGAGTACTGAGAAGTGATGATGATTAATTATATATCATAGCCAAGGGCATGCAACTTTGAGCGCAACTTACTCGCCGAGTTTCTCATGTTGCAACTTAAGACCGAATCCATCTCCATCAATCCCTGTGAGATTAAAATATTCATGTAATTGAAAATTAGAATAGAGAAAATTCAGTGATAAATAATTTGTGACTTTGTCGTTCAATCAATGACGATGACGATGACGACTATAGTCTATAGCACATGGTAATATTCATCAAACGGTGGACTTAACATTAATTCCCCAACCCAGAGTAACTTAAATTACTATTTTAAGAGGCACGAGTAACACAAATCGCTATGATCGTATATTTTGAGCAGTTCTGAGATGTCTATCATATCTGTTTATGATTCCAAACAAATTCAGCAAACATTAATGCCTGATATGAAATATGTTCACCGAGAATGACTGCACAATTAAGAATATTATGGAATGGCGACTTCAATATCACTGTCTCTGTCATGAATAAAGGAAAAGGAAAGGAAACCTCAACCTGGTAAGAATAGCAGACGAGGAGAGCCTGAGGAGCGACTGCTACATTCCAGAGGGGAGAACCACCGCGGCGGTTCACCTCCACCGACTTTATCCAATTCTCTCGACTGCTCGCCATTATCATTTGAGCTCAGACGCGCACTCCTCAACCTTCGAACCACGCGAGAAGCGATTCGCTGCCTGCTTTTGCCAGAACAAAAACCTACCTCCAACTTGATTCTAGGCCGCCGGAGGTAGGGAATCTGAAAACTGGCTCCGACGGCCGTCTTCCCGACCGGAAGCATTTCGCCAACACCGCACTAGACTAGAATCCTTTAGAGCAACTCAAACCCAGGCAATGTGTCTCTATATTTGCTGGGTCAACGCTCCAACGCACCCTTTACTTCTGCTTTTCGATTCAATTCACGCATACAGAATATAGATTAAAAAATTTGTTGTCCCCGGTGCACGGGGTGAGCATTCTTATTTTCGGTCCGAATTGATTCGAAAATTCAAAATTTTTGAAAATATCAATCCGAATCGAACCGAAATAATTGAAATTCGAAATATCCGTAATCCGAACTAAAAAAATCGGAACCAAACCAAAAAATCCGAAATTCTAAATATTTTTATTATTTTTTTTTTAATTTTTAAATTCTTTTATATTTTATTATTATTTTATAATATTAAATATATATAATATATAAAATTTAAATATATTAAAATATAATTAATAAATTTGAGTTTTTTATATTAAAATATAATATTTTATTAAATATGTATAATAAAAAAATATATCAAAATGTTATATTTCGAATTTCGAATTGGTTCGGATTTTAAGTACACCGATCCTATCCGAAAATCCGAAATTTGTTAAAAATTCAATCCGATCCAATCCGAAAATTTGAAAAATACGAACCAAATTTAAAATTTCGATTTGGTTTGAATTGAATTTTCGGATTTCGGATATTTTGCTCACCCCTAACGGTGCAGGCTGTACTCATGATCTCTGGTTCTTAATACTAGTCCCTCTTTACCACGTAACGTATCCATTTATATCCGTCTCACATTCAATGGGAAAATAAGTACATTTTAATGTTATTTTAAATTTTTTAATTTATTTTTTTAATTTTAATTAAATTAATTATTTTTATTAATATATTTTTAATTATCTACTAATTACATCCCTCCGAACATTCAGTGTCTGATCTGTGAACTTTTTAAATCCAAAAACAATCCACAGACTTTTTAAAATCTAAAAAAATCCAATGAAATCTCAAATAAGTAAACCCTTCTTATAAAACCAAGCATATATGGCATGTTTCAAGCCACAGAAAGCACGCCGCAACTTGCACACTTTAGAAGGTGTAGAACCTAGAGGCAATGTAATATAAACATCCTCAAAGAGATCACTATGAAGAAAAGCATTCTTGACATCCAACTGCGATAAATACCACTTACGAACAACCACAATTGCGATTAGACAATGAACGAAGGTAAGACATGCCACCAGAGCAAAAGTCTCTTGATAATCAACTAAACAAGTCTTGTCACACTCAACTGATCCACGAGACTTAGTTTTTCTTGAAAATCCATTTGCAGCCAATAAGTGTTTTATCTAGAAGTAAATAAACTAAATCTCATGTATGAGTCTTCTCTAAAGCCCAAAATTCTTCAGACATCGGTTTTCGCTACAACAGATCATAATTTTTACTTCATGAAATGATCTGGGCTCATGCAGAGATAAGATAGTATAAAAATAATGATTATCATGCGAATGAGAAAGTGGATGACTTACTTGATGTGAGCGCCAATGTATGACAGGTCCAGGCATTGTAGTCGGACTCAGCATCCGAAGAGGATGTCGGATATGGATTAGAAGCCTCAACTGTAACAAGATATGGACGTGAAGATGAAGTCGTAGGGTCAGAATCAAGGAACAAGAGAGGACACGGCGATAGGATTGAAGGTGAACCAGAAATAGAGGAGACATGGAATTTAGACATGGTGGAAAATATGACACTATCTCAAAAGGTTACATGACGAGAAATATGCAACCATTTAGAGATCGCATCTCAAAACTTATAACATTTATGCTCTACCCCAAAACCTAAAAGACAACATAGATGCACATAAGGTTCTAGTTTGGAATGTTCATGCAGAGGGATAAGGACAAACTGAAACAACTTAATGGACATAGGATACTATAATCGGGTGGTTAACCATACAGACATTCAAAAGGAGTAACATTATGGATTGCAGAAGATGGAATATGATTTATAAGATAGACGGCAGTAAAAGCAGCTTCCCTCCATAACCTATAAGAACAAGAGGTAGACAAAGAGATGCATGAAAAATATCTAGAATGTGACGATGTTTGTGCTCAACGTGACCTTTTTGTTGAGAGGTGTATGGACAAAAACGCTGAATCACTGTACCCTAAGCAGAAAGAAAGTTTACCAAGGGAGAACCCTTGTATTAAAGGCCCTTTATTAGTAAGAAGAGTTTGCATGTACCATAAAAACTTAGTCTTAATCATTTGGGCATATTGAATGTATATTTGAGGTAATTCGGAATGGTGCTTAAAAAAATATATTAATATTCCCTTTGTCTAGACGAAAGAGTTCTATTTACTTTTAGCACGAAAATTAAGAAATATTATATTATAATAATAGTTGGTTAGGTTAAAAGACAAATTTGCCCATTGGCTTTATTTGTAATGAAATGGTATTTGTGTAAAGAAGTGTTATTCAAAGGGTATTTGTAATGAGTAGTGGGGTAGGTAGTTATTAAAAAGGAAATATATCTCTTATAAGTGGACATCCAAATATAGAAAGTGTAACTCTTGTAGCAGGATGGAGGGAATATAAAATAGGAATAATCAATTATGAATATGATATAATAACAACACACTCATATAATAAACAGAAGAACCCTAAATATCATAATAAACCAAAGAAAATGGTTCAATTGCAATTGACATATTTTCTAAAAAGGAAAAGACTGGGTATTTTCCCAAATGACAGTGTAAGCAATTAAATAACTCAAAAGTAGTATAACCCAAATGACCATTACTAACCAAAGATTGAATTTTAGAAAAGAATGCATGAGCAAGACGAATGTGCCATTAGAGACTAGGGGAAGACATGGTAGTAATAAGAGTATGAGTAGCAACAACAGAAAAATTGTAGGAAGAATTTTCAGAGATTGTACCTTAAATAACACATTTCGACCTGCCCAAAAATTTGACCCGTATGTTGATCCTAAAGATGCACAGTAGAAGAGAAGAAAGTAACAGTAACTACATGATCAACTAGTTGGTCAACTGATACAAGATTTAGAGTCAACTGAGGAATGTAGTAAGTATCATGGAGATATATAAATGGTAGAGATACAAATCCGGAATGAGCGATAATCATGTGGCTCCTATTAGTCGTCTGTATAGGCGGTGAAGAGGACACATGGTAGGACCAATCAAAAGACTAAGTGTAGGTGTCATATGATTGCAGCAACCAGAATCAAAATACTACATAGAACTACCTGAATTGACCATGACAAAAGAGGAACCGAAAGGAAGGACTTGATGTGAGAGAAACACGATATTCTGAAATTTTGTAGATGCAGGCTGATAATACGATCAAATACTTCATGCATTCCAAGGTGTACGAACACAACAATTCTAAATGATATCGCCTTTATGATAATAGTAATGACACTCCACTGCCACAATATGACTACCGATAGATAAACAAAAACAAGAAAAAAAAATCTGAAAAAAAAAATCTCCTCAAACAGAAAAATAAATTACACATCAGATAGAGAAAATTTTTTTCCAAGACTATATGTAATTCCGGATTTTGGCATGTATGAAAATATTATTATATCAAATAAATCTATTGATGATATTAATAAAAGCAAAAAATTAATATTATAAAATAAATTTTATTTTATTTTTTATATCGATTATATTTGAAAAGATTGTGAAAGGATAAATATAAAATATATAATATAATAACAAACATGATAATGTTGAAGATAATATTGATAACGATGAATAATAATAATAAAATAATAAAATACTACATAATAGTATAAAATAATATAATATAATAATATATAATTGAATTAAGAAATAAACAAACCAACCTTACCTTTGATAAGCAAAAGCAAACACAGGGAGAAAATGAGGGGGAAAAGAAAGGATGAAGAAAAAAAAAATTGGCCATCCGATTTTAATTTCGACTGTTGTACGTAGAGTTTAATTGTAATTCTAAATATGAATTTGGATATTGATGTATTAAATTAGAAATCCTTCAAAAACTCATATTTGACTATTTAGCTATTTAATCGATGAATTGTTAGTTAATAGCCTTATCTTAGTCATAGGGTTGTATTCTGAGAATTTCGTATTGATCCAAGAGAAATTAAAAATGACAGTATGTTTTGAAACCCAATGAGTTAATTAGAGAAATTAGTTTTTGAATAAACAGAAAGCTCATATGAATAAACATGTAGCTCATCTAATTTGAGTAAATAATGAGGCAGGTTGTGAGAGCGCGCTTCTGTCCTCACTCACTCACACCCTGAAAGACTTAACTCCAGATTTCTTTCAGTAGGGCTTCCGAAAAGGAACATGCACATTATTAACATCAGTAGTACATTAAATCCATTTAATCTATATTCAACCTCGGATGGTCTGACATCGGCTCATCCACAAAAGTTAGCCTAACACCTGCCCAACTTTGGGGTATTACACAGGTGTACGTTGAGGGAAATTTGGATAAAATCACAAAATTGAAGATGTTTCAACAAAGTGGTAAACATTTTGGAATTAAATTTAATTTTAAGAAATTAGTTATGCATGTGCATTCGATTTTGATTTTAAGGTTAATGTGATATTATGTGTATAATGTTGTCAATGCATGTATATATATTTATATATGTGTGTATGTATGTATGCATGTGTGAGACTTCATATTTTATACTATTTGATATGTATATTAGATTGTGTTGGCGAATTTCTGAATAAATATGATAGGTAAGTTGTCTCACCAGTCATTTTCACTAAATTCACTTGTTTCACATGCTACATAGATATCGCATGATTTATTGAATGTGTTTTATGAATCTATTGTTTAGTCGCTATGTGTAGTAGTGCTCGGCGAGGGAATAATTCGGGTTGGGATATTCGACCCCGAGGTACCGTAACACTTTGCCAATAATGGAGGATAGTAGTCCAACAAATGGATGACTTTGAAATTATTTTTTTTCAATAGACTGAAAAAACAAAATTCATCGTATGTTTGTGTTGTGAACTATTGTGTGGTGTTTGTTCATTCAACTCTTGAATATCAATTTTGTGATATGAATAATTACTCCCTTCGTCTCTAAACAATTT